TAATTAGGGGATACGGGGGTTCAAAACTCGATCGTAACGTGATCTGTGGTGTATTTTTTCTTAGGTTCGGCCGTTTTCGGTTTTCGGTCGCTCGTTACCCCTTAAATCGCATATGTGCCACATATTCACTATATAATTTTGTTCCTCATTTTATTACCTTTCTTGCGATATATAGGATATACCTGTAATTAGGGGATACGGGGGTTCAAAACTCGATCGTAACGTGATCTGTGGTGTATTTTTTCTTAGGTTCGGCCGTTTTCGGTTTTCGGTCGCTCGTTACCCCTTAAATCGCATATATGCCACATATTCACTATATAGCTTTTGTTCCTCATTTTATTACCTTTCTTGTGATATATAGGATATACCTGTAATTAGGGGAAACGGGGGTTCAAAACTAGATCGTAACGTGATCTGTGGTGTATTTTTTCTTAGGTTCGGCCGTTTTCGGTTTTCGGTCGCTCGTTACCCCTTAAAATCGCATATGTGCCACATATTCACTATATAGCTTTTGTTCCTCATTTTATTACCTTTCTTGATATATATAGGATATACCTGTAATTAGGGGATACGGGGGTTCAAAACTCGATCGTAACGTGATCTGTGGTGTATTTTTTTCTTAGGTTCGGCCGTTTTCGGTATTCGGTCGCTCGTTACCCCTTAAATCGCATATGTGCCACATATTCACTATAAAGCTTTTGTTCCTCATTTTTTTACCTTTCTTGTGATAGATAGGATATACCTGTAATTAGGGAATACGGGGGTTCAAAACTCGATCGTAACGTGATCTGTGGTGTATTTTTTCTTAGGTTCGGCCGTTTTCGGTTTTCGGTCGCTTGTTACCCCTTAAATCGCATATGTGCCACATATTCACTATATAGCTTTTGTTCCTCATTTTATTACCTTTCTTGATATATATAGGATATACCTGTAATTAGGGGATACGGGGGTTAAAAACTCGATCGTAACGTGATCTGTGGTGTATTTTTTCTTAGGTTCGACCGTTTTCGGTTTTCGGTCGCTCGTTAACCCTTAAATCGCATATGTGCCACATATTCACTATATAGCTTTTGTTCCTTATTTTATTACCTTTCTTGTGATATATAGTATATACCTGTAATTAGGGGATACGGGGGTTCAAAACTCGATCGTAACGTGATCTGTGGTGTATTCTTTCTTAGGTTCGGCCGTTTTCGGTTTTCGGTCGCTCGTTACCCCTTAAATCGCATATGTGCCACATATTCACTATATAGCTTTTGCTCCTCATTTTATTACCTTTCTTGTGATATATAAGATATACCTGTAATTAGGGGATACGGGGGTTCAAAACTCGATCGTAACGTGATCTGTGGTGTATTTTTTCTTAGGTTCGGCCGTTTTCGGTTTTCGGTCGCTCGTTACCCCTTAAATCGCATATGTGCCACATATTCACTATATAGCTTTTGTTCCTCATTTTATTACCTTTCTTGTGATAGATAGGATATACCTGTAATTAGGGGATACGGGGATTCAAAACTCGATCGTAACGTGATCTGTGGTGTATTTTTTCTTAGGTTCGGTTCGTCGTTGATGGTGATGTTTTTGGTATTCGGGCGTAGTATAACATAGATCTCCTATTAGTGCTATTATTAGATTTTTCTTTAAGGAAACACCCCTCGTTTTTTATATGAAACTTTCATTACTTGTGTATATTACCTCTTCTAGACTTTTTATATTGACAATATTTTTTATATATAAATGTGTAAATTTTTGAGAATTTGAAAAGAATTATTGGCACTCAAAGACGTATTTTATTTTCACTCCCCTGACACAAGGTGTACCGTTCAGTCGGTAGATTACGTTAAGTGTGGACATCTTGATAGTGAAATGAGTCTGAAACGAATGCTCACTTTAATGCTTTATGAATAAAAGTAGACCCCAACCCTAGAAATATACGTAACAAACTGAGTGCGACAATTGTACCGTAAACTTCTAGATATATGCATAAGTGGGTTTTAGATGCATGATCAAATGTAATGTTACGTAAAAAATAAATAATTCAGTCTAAATATTAAAAAGAGATAGGCCTAACAAATATCTTTTCTCTTTTCTCTTTATACCTTAATACTATATAATTCTATAGAGATTTCTACTTACGTTACTTTCGTTTTTGACTGCTAACCTATCTAAATTATCGTTTGCAAAATAATATTTATTTATTAAATGATTACTCATAAAAATATTTTATTTTATGATATAGATTGATAATATGAAAATATTGTGTCGTTAGAAATATATATATATAATATAAGTAAAAAATCATGGATATTTTTGCACTCGTTTAGAAGAATAACAATTATCCCGTTAGTTTTCTCTTTTGAATTCCTTTTATATTTATGATTTATGCGGTATGGGATTTGCACATTGCCGAAGGCCGTACGGTGACCTTAAGCTTGTAATGTCTGTGTCATTGGCAATCATACCAATTTTTTCTAATTTTTATATATACAAGTAGATACTACAGTTATTCATTACAATTTTTATAAACTTGAATACTAGTAGTGAATAGTGCAAAAAAAACACAGTTCACTATTCATGAATTTTGAATAGTGAAAAGTGAATAGTGAATGTACTTCAGCCCGGTCTAGTTTACAAGGTAACAATCCGCATGCAGGAAGAATTAATTTATAAATAAATGGTTGTAAACATTGATTCTATTGTCACTGTTGTACTTTAAGTTTTTTTTAACAAGCTTTTAGTACATTTGTTACTGGCGAGTGACAATTTTGTGGAAAATTTTCAGTACATGATATGAAAGGAAGATAACCTTCGTCGTGCTAACTTCACGAATTAAAATAATTGATTAATGCAACATTAAACGTAATTTTCATTTGTATTTGATAAATGCACACATTTCATCACATCACGTCCACAACTAATTAGGCGGGTCAGTAGTCAATTCGCAAGACTTCGTTACTTTGGTATTGAATTATTCGGCTATAAGCATTTCTGATGACGGTAAACCCAAAAATCGCCTCGGCTGCATGAAATTTATGAAGTAATCTTTTCATTTTAATAGCATTTGGTCGATCAAATGGATTTTAAACTTTTAACTATTTTTGAAGCATTTGATAAAGTCCACCATCAAAGAATAGCTCAAAAATTAGATTTTTACGGTATTAGGAATCTAAACTTAAATTGGATAACAGATGTTTTAGCTGACAGGCAACAGTAGGTACTTTTAAATGGTGTTAAATCTTCTAAATTTGCTGTTGAATCTGGTGGTCCTCCGGGATTAGACCCAAAATTATTTTTACGATTTATTAATGAATTACCAGAGTATGTAACTTGCAATGCAAGACTTTTACAGATAACTGCTTACTATATAGAAATGTAAATAATAAATCTGATGCACAATAAAAAATGATTAAACTATTTTAGTGCAATTAGAACAGGACAGGTAGGTGAATTTAAATCCTGGAAAATGTTATGTTATACATATATCTAAAACATTAGCGCTTCTTCTTCTAATTATGCATTGCATAATCATGTATTAGAATCTGTTAAAGACAGTAAATATTTAGCCATGAACACGTATAGATAATTTTACCTTACAAAAAGCACCACATCACTCAGGTTGAGCAGATCCAGCGTAATGCAGCCCGATTTGTCTATTATCTATACTATTAAATGATAAGACCTCATTTTGTGTGTCGCTTCTCTTCCTTCCACAATAAATTAATCATCATGCCCCTGTGTCCTATAAATACCATGCATAGTCGCATTTGTCATCCTCGCTTATGATTATTCAGTTTGGGTTATTTTGGGAGGAAACGAAAATAAAGGCGTCCGGATTTTGTTTTCATCATTGGACAGACTTTTAAGTCATAGAAAATACTTCCTTTAGGACTGTTTTAAAATTACACATAATTTTCACAAGTACTGGGGGACAGGACAATTATTTTCGTGTTTTTCTGTATACTATGATCATACATATACTACAAATAAAGTGTATTTGCTATTTACTATCAATTCAAATATAATATATCAGTGACCGCCGTGGATAGTAAACTTGGAATTGATAGTAAATAGCAAATATACACTTTATTTGTAGTATATGTATGTTCATAGAATACAGAAAAACAGAAAACAAAAAATAACGGACTTTGGAAAAAAGGGGAGGGCTAAAAAAAAAATTGTTCTGTCACCAAGTACCTATGACTTTTGATACCTTTCCTGAAATTCTCCAGTCATAAAATCTTTTACAAAAATTCAACAGTACAACAGTTTACATACTTTCATCCACGCTCTAAATGCCCGCGATTTCGCGGGTGTGTTCTAGTGATTATAAAGACAGACCATCGGGTGTATTCCAACATAATAAGTTATATACGATGGGACAGTTGACATAATAGAAGAAGAAAAATCTCCATTAACAATGCTATATAAGATTAATTTTCTCAAGGACAATTAAGTATAATCTGATTGACGTACTAGGGGTAAACATTAATTTCGGCAAATTAATTGCAAATTAATGGCAACTAATTTTCTAACTTAGTAAATCACCCAAGCCACTTTATATAATGTATATATGTTAATCAATAGACTATTTTATTTTCTTGTTTATAGTAATTTAATTACATTGCACACAAGTTCCTGAAAGGTTTACACTCCTACCTATGAGTCGTCTCCCGTTTTCGGAAAAGAAAAAGAAGAAGCTACCGCTGCTGGTGGATAACCATCCCCGAGGTTATCATTAGTTCACAAGTCATTACTCCGGTACTGACATGATTTAAAACATATCATTCTTTAGTTGTACGTTTTTCAAATTTATGAATTATGAAATAAACAACTCCCTCAGGCAAAATTGACCTTAGATGTATTTGGCTATTATTTCAAGAACCTTTTGGTCAAATAGCTCTCCATCTGTGTCGGACGTTATCCATTTCTGGCTTTTAAATATTCGACTTTGAGCGTTCTTGATGAAGGAAAATTGAGAAAAGCGCTTTGAACATACGAAATTGATAAAGTGTGTTTTATTTTAATTTTTGTATAGCAATGGGTCGATATCTGGTACTGGACTATCAGTCCCCGAAGGTGCCATCAACTTAGTAGTCAATGCTTCGGCACGGACATAATTTATAACATAACTTTCTTAAATTGTGACTTTATCCATTTATAAATTATTTAAAAAAAGTGTTATTTATGAAGTCATCTGTTTGTATAAAATGTCTTGTTATAATTGTTACTGTTTATGCTATATTAAGAGGCTTGTATTTCCCTGGTTTGTGCAAATTGACAATCTAGATATATGAAGATGTGGTATGAGTGCCAATGAGACAACTCTAGTCTACATCTCCAGCTAAGGACACATTCCTAATATCTGGACGTTGGTATGCATGTGAAAAATTGAAACTAAGCATATCCTCAATGTTTAAATGTGAGCGCTGTGTATGGCCTGATACGTTTCGAAATTCCTTAAACTGTTTAAAATCTTTCTGTGGGAAAATCCACTGATCTTGTGACATTGCGATTTTGACTTGACCATAAAGTGTTATGCAAGAACTGATGGTGTCCGTTGTCCCTCTGAGAAGGTTAATAGCTGCAAGTATGTTATTCATGATGGTAATTGATCCATTTGATTCGAATTTTGCAAAGGATTCACGATAAGATTTTAATATCTCTTCTGTTTTTAGGTTGAATTCTTTTTCACGTTCTTCCATGTGATCTTTCCATGTTCTTCTTTCCTGTTCTAAAAGTTGTTCATTTTTTTCTTTTAGATCTTTTTCACGTCTCTCTTCTGCCTCTTTTAATAATTGCATCGCTTCTTTTTCCTTTTCCTTCATTACACGCGCAGCTTCTTGGTAATTGATATCAGTATACCAATCTCCTCCATTCGCAAGCAACATTTCATCCACAATTTGGAAAAGCTTTTGGACTTGATGCTTAGAGTCGTTGTCAGTTAGTGTATTATCAAAAGGAATAAATCTCCGATTGCATGTTTCATTTATAAACTTTTTAACATTCTGTGGAAGAGTGTCAATAAAGTTTTCAAATGTTTGTAGGTTGAAGCGCTTCCAATTGTCATGTCCGGTGAAGATAACGATGACGTACTTCTGGAGACGCTGTCCAAAATAGTCCACGAATTTGTTTATCGTACTGATTTCTTCATCTGTACAACGCCCAATACTTAATGTGAATAAAATAGCGTGTGGTCCGGGAGTTACCATTCCTATGCTGCGAACGATTTCCTTGATTATGTCGCTTTCACTCTTGTCCGTATCAAAAAGTCCAGGTGTATCCACAATTGAAATAGATTTTCCAAATATTTCCACATTTTTCATATCACATTGTTTTGTAACTGATGAAGCCCCAGGGGTTTCATCAAATATTCTCTGTCCAAGAATAGTGTTTGCCGTGCTGCTCTTTCCAGAACCTGTTTTCCCTATCATAACGAACCTCAAATTACTGCTTGATGAGCTAGCCATTTTGCTGAAATGTATTAAAAATAATTGACATTTAGAAGACCAATGATACTTTCAACGCATGCTAAGCGTCACAGTCTTTCAAGGTGTACATTGTCTAAAGACGATGAGGTAAAATTGGAAAAAAAAATACATAATAATACCAATCTTATTATCTATTTGTTTTCCCAATTTTACCTCATCGTCTTTAGACAATTTACACATTGAAAGACTGTGACGCTTAGCATGATTATGCTGTAGTGAAATGTCCAACGTCGCTGCATATATATATGGAATACAATTAAGTGTACAGTATAAGGTTATACTACAGCAACATAAATACATTATAAAATGTATTTCTAGCATTTGCATTTGTTTCTGTTATTCTATTCATTACAACCAAACCGTCTCAGAGGAGTTCCGTTTGCAATGGTCATAAAAGAGAGATGATATTCAAACTCATAAGTCCGTCGAAAATAAACTGACAACGCTATAACTCGAAACGAAAAACGGCGAAAAAACAAACAACAGTCCACAAAACACAACATAGAAAACTAAAGACTGAGCAACACGAAACCCCACCAAAATCCTGGGCCCCCCATATTGTGGGAAAAATTTGGTAGATTATATAGGGAATCATTGAATCATGACTGGACGGGCCCCCTTTTAGGCAGTCAGTGGGCCTCCCTTGTGAAAATTTATTGATCCGCTACTGTTGGGCCCTCTCCTTGTGAATAGATATATCTTTTTACCAACAGCTTGACAATAAATATAATCATTCGCGTGAATTTGAATTAGTTTGATCTATCGATATATATATATATATATATATAAAACCACATACCTCCTATAGCAATGGACCTGAACATGACCGACCGTCAAACATACGAAGTGAAATGCAAATAAATCCAATCTTTTTACATGGTTTATTATGTGTTGTAATCGTGAATATTGTCTTAATGTTTCATGATAGATATAATAAAGATATGACATATTAACAATATACTGTATTTTCTTATCCAGTTGGTTGGTTTTGTATAGACTGTTTTGCGTTTACTTTGTTGCCAATGAGAATAAGGTGATACAATTCTAAAAGGTGACCCATTTTAAATGTACACAATTCTGTTATGAAGGTATAATATTACCCCAACAGCTCATAAATTAGAACGAAGGACACATACCAATCGAAGGCAAGGGTATGGAGATGATCGTGAATATAACAATAAAAAAAAAAAGAATGTGAATTGCTAAAAATATCCCACAGTACAAAATACCACACAAAAAACACCCATATCGACTACTCTAAAAAAAAAAACAAGACACAGAAACAAAGACAAATATAATCGAGCCATGCATAGTCGGGTTAGCTTGACTAGATAGCAAGGTTTACGTAAACACAAACCTTCCTTTTGCCCTAACATGGACACATGTCGTAAACATGAAATAATATTTGCCACGTTTATTTCTGAGCAAACATGTAAGATTAATTAGTGAAATTTCTGAAAACGTTGCGTTCAAATAATGCTTTCCGAATTTAAACCTATTTACTTTTTAACAATAATAAAAACATTGCAAAATGCCTTATTTATAGACAAAAAGCATGAGTTTATTGTTATTACTCTCAGATGGTGCTTTCTCTTTACAAAATATTGAAAAAACAAGATAGAGTTTATGGAAATGTGTTCAGTAGTGAATCATTCCTTCAAAGGTTTACAGGTGGCCTAGATGGCCGAGTGATTTGAGTAGTGAAACAACTGTATCACTCGCCTGTCAACACTGTGGTTGTGAGTTCGATTCCCGAAAGTGGCAGGTTCGCTCGACTCCAATCTTAATTGACTAGGTTTGTCAGGTCGGTAATTCTCTCCAGGCACTCCGCTTCCTCTGTCAAAACAAACTGACAACCACAAAATAGAGGAGTAGTGATGAAAGTAGCGGTAAACGCCAATCAATCAAACAATGAAAGGTTTATATGGATACTTAGAAAACATGTTAGATGTTCACAAATCATGGCATGATTTTTGATTTTGATGACATTGCTCAGAAAGTCATTGACAATTGCCCAATTGGCTTTCAGTTTACTAATATCATGTTAGTGTCAAAACTGTGGTCACACTTTCGAGATCTCCTTTTAAAAACGCCAATCATTTTAAAAACGATATGGTTGAGAATTTCGACCAGTTGTTAAGTGAAATCTGATCAATCGAGTTGAACATTAACTACGCTTGGGTTCTGAAACTAATATTCAGCAGGTAGCAGAAAGGTTAACAAGAGGTCCGGGAACACTCTTATCGTCCTTTGATTTTCGTACTCCACGAATACAATGCCTAGTGTGGACAGTGGGTTACTGGCAAATTTTTTTTATACCCCTTCCAAATCTATTTCTTCATGTTTCATGCCTCAAATAGCAAGTAGGGGGATGCAATTACACTGTAAAAAAAATGGGTCGTGAATTTTAAAGTAGTGATCTATTTGGTCCAGCTGAAAAAGGTTAAAAATTAGCATTTCGGAAGCAGTCAAAAGATTTCAAGACTCCCTTAACCTAAAATTGTCCATATTTTGAGTTAGAGCTGATGAAGTTTTCTATACTTTTGATATAATTTGTCCCAAAAGTAGTACAACATACTGTAAAATATTATTGAGAAAGCGCAGGTGGGATTGTTTTGATTTTCATTTATTGTCTAAAAGAAATGCACTACGAAATAGCTGTGTTCTCGGGCCAAGAGATGATAAAGTAATTGACTATGATCAATACCAGAATGGAAACTTTTGAGGGGAGGTTGAAAGGGTGAAAACTTCTAAACCCGAGAGTACTTGAAGTTTTTCAAATACCTTATTTCGTGACCAAGGTAGTGGAAATTACGAAATTTAATACAAAAGCATATGTTACATTGGCTATGCGGGAAACCGATAAATTCAAAATTATAATGATTCTCAGCATAGGATTTAAACGAATAAATGTTTCAACAGAGAATTATATAGGTCTGAGTTAGAGCTGATGAAGTTTTCTATAATTTTGATATGATTTGTCCCAAAAGTAGTACAACACACTGTAAAATATTATTGAGAAAGCGCAGGTGGGATTGTTTTGATTTTCATTTATTGTCTAAAAGAAATGCACTACGAAATAGCTGTGTACTCGGGCCAAGAGATGATAAAGTAATTGACTACGATAAATACCAGAATGGAAACTTTTGAGGGGAGGTTGAAAGGTTGAAAACTTCTAAACCCGAGAGTACTTGAAGTTTTTCAAATACCCTATTTCGTGACCAAGGTAGTGGAAATTACGAAATTTAATACAAAAGCATATGTTACATTGGCTATGCGGGAAACCGATAAATTCAAAATTATAATGATTCTCAGCATAAGATTTAAACGAATAAATGTTTCAACAGGAAATTATAAAGGTCTATCAATGTGTCAAGTCCAAAATTTGGAGATACCTGTACACAGATGTATGTACCAAAGTGACTAGGTATCTGTAGGACAACTTGTCAGGTGTGTCAGTATGTCCATTGGTAGTAAACATCGAGGGGTAAATCTACCGTGCTTCAACATGACTATTAAAATAATAAAACAGCACACTTTGTTCTCTTCGTGAGGTTCAAGTTAAAGCACTTCTGATATTTTGCTACATGGAAATAGAAAGTTTACAAGTTGATAAATGAAATTACCATCCGTCAAAATTTTGTTTTCAACCCATCTTTGTTGTAAATTTCTATGTCATGATATGAAGAAGACGTAACCCTATGAACATGATGAATGATATCATTTTTCAATTTCATTGGGATATATGCTGTCAAAATAGTAACCAAACCTTGAATTATCCAGTAAAAGGACACCATCTATATAGCGGAGCGTGATTTGAAGGGGTTGATGTCTGCTTTTTTTAAATTTCTTGAGAAACCGCGCTATAAAAGCTTCCTCGTAAGAATAAAGGAGCAATACATATGAGAAAATGCAACCATTATGACACATCCATATAATGTTTAAAATAAACCGGTGACAAAAATAACATACATATGCAACATTGGATAATAATATTAACGTCAGGATTTGTGAAATTTATAGTGGAAACAATTTTGTGGGTATTATTATATCCAATCTCATATCGTTACCAAACATGTGTAAAAATTATAAAAACCCTATCCATTACATTTCACATTTCCTACTGTAGCCGGTCGACCGACACTGCAGAATCTTCTTAAGGAATTATTTGTATATTTGTTCTTGTCTTAAATATTCATGAAATATGTTCTACTTTATGTCAGAAAACTTTTGAAGATTAGCGGTTTCCTTAACTTTTTATCATACTTAAATCGAAATAATATAGTTCAAGATTATTCTGTCGTGTAATAGGGCATCAGAAACAAACTATTCTAGCGTTAAGAAATAAGCTTCAATAGGCTTAATAAGAAAGATATACTGACAGGGTACCCGAATGTTTTTCTATCCTTAGGGCTTACAACATTGATACGTTTTTATATTATAAGAAAAAAAAACATATTAATGAACAAAACAGATATCATCTGCTTTAGATTTCAAGAAGGTAAAAGATGTTTGCAATAATATGAAGTTTTTTTTATAAAACTAAAATAAAAAGTACAAAGGGAGTACATTATGTCGGTATACAAATAAATCTGGCAAAGGCGAAATAACCATACCACTTCATCCTTACATAGAAATCCCAAAATGTAAAATAAACGACAATTTGTTATGATGAAGAATAAAGAATAAACCCATCATAGATACCAGGATAGATATTCTCTATCCCACAGGAGCCAAGGAAGATATATAATATTTCCACAGGAGGTATTAACGAAGAAACTCAGTATTCGTCAAGAACAGATTAATGAAATATTTAATTTTTCCACAGTAGCAAAAAAAAAAAAGGATATTCAATATGCTACTAGAGCAAATAATAAAGAAGATGTCCAGTTCTGTTATTCTACACAATTAACCAAGCGGCACCAAGGTTAAAAAGAGAAGGTATGGCAAAGCAAGTTTTTGACCCCTGAATTCAAAAACAAAAAGTATCATAAATCTATCGATACTGTAAAGTCGTTTATTTTATGCGGAGAGTAAAACTCGCAATCTCAATGGGGAAAACCTGTCCGCGAGGTTTCATTTTCGGAGTTTTCTTTGAAATGATTATATGTTCATAAATGATAAACTCTTCGGAATAGGATATTTTCGCGATTTTCTCTTCATCGCTAAATTAATAGAAATTATCCCGTCGCGAAAACTTCCCATTTTACAGTAAAATCCTTTGAATGTTCATTATTATTCAGTCGATGACCAGGAGTTATATTTGTGAATTTGGAATAAGGGCTCCAAACTTCTTATATTTAGTGCAAATCTTACAAGAGTACCCCATTTTGAGATCTCATCATTTATATTAAGGTACAAGTCCAGGCTGTACCCCAAAAATGTATTTAACAAAAATGTCAATGTAGGGAAAATATTTTTGGGTAAGGACTTGGCCCTTGTTTTATTGTTAAAATTAAAAACGAAATGGTTATTTTTAGGTGAAATAAGTAATTTCGAGGTTTACACTCCTACCCATGAGTCGTCTCCCGTTTTCGGAAGAAAAAGAAGAAGATACTGCTGCTGGTGGATAACCATCCCCGAGGTTATCATTAGTTCACAAGTCATTACTCCGGTACTGACATGATTTAAAACATATCATTCTTTAGTTGTACGTTTTTCAAATTTATGAATTATGAAATAAACAACTTCCTCAGGCAAAATTGACCTAAGATGTATTTGGCTATTATTTTAAGGACCTTTTGGTCAAATAGCTCTCCATCTGTGTCGGACGTTATCCATTTATGGCTTTTAAATATTCGACTTTGAGCGTTCTTGATGAAGGAAAATTGAGAAAAGCGCTTTGAACATACGAAATTGATAAAGTGTGTTTTATTTTAATTTTTGTATAGCAATGGGTCGATACCTCTGGTACT